CAGCCTTTCTTTTCTCTGGTTTGTCTCGATGAATACTTGTGTGATTCTATTCCATGACATTTTTATTTGGACTCTTGATTTTTCTCTGGTATGGTTGCCTCGGTTAATGTCGTTTAGCAGCTCATACAGCTCATAATCTTACCTTGAAGGTATTCGTTAGCTCCTCGACTTGAAGGTATCCGTTAGCTCCTCGACTTGAAGGTATTCGTTAGCTCCTCGACTTGAATAATCCGTTAGCTCCTCGACTTGAAGGTATTCGTTAGCTCCTCGACTTGAAGGTATCCGTTAGCTCCTCGACTTGAAGATACCCGTTAGCTCCTCGACTTGAAGGTATCCGTTAGCTCCTCGACTTGAAGGTATCCGTAAGCTCCTTGACTTGAAGGTATCCGTTAGCTCCTAGACTTGAAGGTATCCGTTATCTCCTCGACTTGAAGGTATCCGTTAGCTCCTTGACTTGAAGGTATCCGTTAGCTCCTCGACATGAAGGTATCCGTTAGCTCCTCGACTTGAAGGTATCCGTTATCTCCTCGACTTGAAGGTATCCGTTAGCTCCTCGACTTGAAGGTATTCGAAGGCTCCTCGATTTGAAGGTATCCGTTAGCTCCTCGACTTGAAGGTATCCGTTAGCTCCTTGACTTGAAGGTATCCGTTTGCTCCTTGACTTGAAGGTATCCGTTAGCTCCTCGACTTGAAGATACCCGTTAGCTCCTCGACTTGAAGGTATTCGTTAGCTCCTTGACTTGAAGGTATCCGTTAGCTCCTTGACTTGAAGGTATCCGTTAGCTCCTCGACTTGAAGGTATCCGTTATCTCCTCGACTTGAAGGCATCCGTTAGCTCCTCGACTTGAAGGTATCCGTTAGCTCCTCGACTTGAAGGTATCCGCCTTGACTTGAAGGTATCCTCGATTATTTCCCATTCATTTGACATTCCATATATACAATGAACAATTTCAACCGCCTCTCTGCAGTTTTAACAAAACCAATCATACGTCAAGATCATATAGAAATATCGGACTCTCTTTCACACTTCACGCAATGCTGAAGTTGACATTTTTGGCATTCGAGCAGCAACAAACAGTCGGCTTTCTTTTGAAATAACGAACATCCGTGTTAATTCTCAATTGTTTCCCTGCTGTTTGTTTGAGTAACAAACTACGTTACTTCTCGATGACGTTCTTCCTTCTGTGCCTTCTATACAAAGACTATCGCCATTTTGTTCTGGTAAACAGCAAGCATGATCCGCCTTTATCTTATTTCTTGTTATTTGGTGCGTGTGGCTCCCCCTAAAACGTTTTAGACTATTTGTATAAACGTACTTCACTGGTGGATGTTCCCTGGAAATCTTTCAAAATAATCCCAAAACGATTTGCTTTGCTTAAGCGGGTCAATCGCTCAGTAAGCTATGACACCAAAATTCTGCTGCGATATTACACCGAATAATACCAACCTGAAGATGCAGGACAAATTATTCCGAAGGCGGTTTCATTGGAGAAGAGGTATCTTGGGAAACAAAAAAAACACACACATACAGGCAAGAAACGAGATCCAAGTGTTTCAATGTTTGTCTCCCCAGTTTAACAAACTGTAAATACAACTCTGCACAGTGGACCCACACATCAGTCAAACCGAAAACCCAGGTCATTTGTATTCTAATTTATCATAGCAAAACAAGGAGCAGATACGTCAGCCAAATGTGTTGGTTGAGTATTAAAAAAAAATAGCAACTGTTTATATAGCAATGGACAACACTATGTAATCTACCTTTATCACATAATGAGGATGGTTTTAACATCAGTATAACTCCGTACAATGACATACACAAAGGGAAACAATCACTTACACGGTACATCCTCCATGAGGGAGATTCTGCATGCTCAAATTAAACCCTAAGGAAAATGTGTGTATACCCCCTTGAGACACAATACTTATTGAAATGGCATATTTTGAATTGTTCTTCAGATGAAATAATCATATCTTAGAATATATGATTAGTTTATCAATTTCACCGTTAGAAAATGCTAAATTTAAGGGGTCAAAATTGGGAGGCTCCCATCTAAATAGGGAGACTATGCATCTCTCCTCCGTATTATGTAGTAACAAAAGGACGTCAGCTACACGATCCAGTAAAACAAAATGTTCAATTCTTTTTTATTCAACATCAGATTGGTTTCTCTTTGTTTACGAAGAAAGACACAAAACAACGCGCATAATATGGCAACAAAGTAACTGTTCTATTCCATCTAGACCGGATTGTAGTTCAGTCCAGAAGATAAAGGAAGACTAGTACATAAACTATACAGTGGTTCATTATTAAATCACACATCTATGCGTAATTCTACGGGGAAATGCACAACATCCTCATAGACTTACTCTATTTAATTAAAGCCATCACTGCAGTATCTAACGACTACATAAGTATACTATAAATAACAATGCTTATGGATTAATACCTTCAAATAGTACCGAAACATCTAAGCACTACAATAAACAATATCGCCTACTCATATACCTTTTGTAGGTAGTTGAAAAGATTTTGTAAACACATATTTGTCATCAATATCGATGTCAAAAAAAATAATAAAACGTTGTATTATAAAAACGGGATTCTTCAATTAATCAAATTTTAACAGTTGAGAAAATAAAAAGATAATGCAAATCTATCATAAATACTAATTCTGCATTTGGCAGTGAGTATACAGAATTAAGTAAATAACTATAAAACAAAAACACAGTGACTTTAAACTATGACAAAAATACTCATGACAGCGTGTTCCTCGTTTGAGGCTTAGTCACTCTATTTTCGAGATAATAATACTGATGCGGCTCTCTAAATCATACCATCGTGACATGTATAACTACAGTAAGTGGAGATTTAAATATATAATTACATTGTATATAACACGAGTTTATATATTGGCTGCACTTTACTAGGTACGTAATCGTTAATCTTATAGAACAGACTCATTAAAATATGGGACACGTAATGATACAGCAAAAATGTAAGGTAAATTACAGCTCATTGTCAATTTTGTAGACAATCAAAGATAATGATATTAATATGTAAATGATCACACTATACATGAATATTCACAAAAGCTATAAAAATACACATTAAAATAATATGTAGATATATAATTGGTAAAAAGAATGTTTCTAATAATGATGATTACATATAAATGAACTCTATTATTTAAACCTAGCATTTTTAGAAGATAGTCATGGTGTGAGAATTAACATATCATTTCAAACCGATTGAATTCGTTTTAGTTACAATACAATATACAGTATTGAAGTTCTCATAACCCAAACATATAGCGTTACAGTGACTGCTTAGATTTTACTCTGTCATCTCAATCAGACGAATGACTATTATCCCTCGTTACTCTTCGAAAGTAGAACCAATATACGAGATTAGTCAAACGTAACTACAACTAGGTAAAACTAAGGTATCAGATCAGTCAAACGTAACTATACCTAGGTACAACCAAGATACTAGGTCAGTCACACGTAACTACACCTAGGTAAAACAAAGGTATCAGATCAGTCAAACGTAACTATACCTAGGTAAAACTAAGGTATCAGATCACTCAAACGTAACTACACCTAGGTAAAACTAAGGTATCAGATCAGTCAAACGTAGCTACACCTAGATAGAACCAAGGTACCAGATCAGTCAAACGTAAATACACCTAGATAGAACCAAGGTACCAGATCAGTCAAACGTACCAAAACCTAGATAGAACCAAGGTACCAGATCAGTGAAACGTAACTATACCTAGGTAAAACTAAGGTACCAGATCAGTCAAACGTAACTATACCTAGATAGAACCAAGGTACCAGATCAGTCAAACGTAAATACACCTAGATAGAACCAAGGTACCAGATCAGTGAAACGTACCAAAACCTAGATAGAACCAAGGTACCAGATCAGTGAAACGAAACAAAACCTAGATAGAACCAAGGTACCAGATCAACCCCTAAATACCGTAATATACCCCTTAATACCCCTCAATATCTAACATCTAACACACGTTTAAACCCCATTGGATTCTCTAAAACATCCTTGTATATACGTATACCCCTTGATACACCTCAATATCTAACATCTAACACACGTTTAAACCCCATTGGAGTCTCTAAAACATCATTGTATATACCAATCTACAGAAAACATTGCAGAAAGCATCTACAAAATCAATTGTTACATGTTTTTCATGTCTTTTTAAGACAGGCAATTTATTTGGGGTCCATTTGCAAGAACGTCTGAGAGATGATGATTGTCATACACCAGGTCAGGTAGGAACCAAATCAGCTATCACAGATCACATATTTCAGAATTACAACATGATCAAATGGAAAAACTCTTAAGTGATAGAGAGAGAAGGGAAATGTGACACGGTGTCATATATTAATTAAACATTTTCCTACTTTGACAATATGACAATGAAATCTTGAAACAAAAGGGTTTAGTACCTTATGGTTGTATCACATGAAATTCGATACTTTACTTTACAAATAACTGTCAGACGTTTAGTACCTGAAGAGATATCTTACCTTCCACAAATGTGTATTTCTGTCAACAATGTATCCACACCTAGGTAATGTGTGTCCTTTTAAGCTTAATAATTTTTCATGAATTTTAGCAGCTATAACAACAAAATGTGAGAAAAGTCAAGATAATGATGCTTTCATGAATATCTTTAAGAAAAAATATCTATTTCGTGAATTTAATTATGTATGTGAAAATATGTACACCTGTAAGCTAATTAAATGATGAATCACCTGAAATGAGATTAATTTTAAAAACATCAAAAAGATTTAATTCAAAAGTATAAAGAATGAGCATTTGAATAATATCTACATCTCAGCTTATTAATACTGTCAGTGTGATTACGATGTTTAAATGACATATATGATAAAATTACGCTAAAATTTATGAAAAAAATATTGACAAGTTTTTATCATCAAAACTTGTCTCTTAATAGAGGACTCTAAATCTAAAGTAAAAATACATATTAAATAAAATAGTTTATAACTTGTACAAGTAATATTATAATAGATTTTAATAATATAATTACTTGCTCAATACTGTCATCATGAAATAAGATCTAGAGGTCAAGTCACTCACAATGTAGTCACCTTAAACTCTCCAGGTCTACCGAATCATAATGTAGTCTCCTAAAACTCTCCAGGTCTAGGGAATCATAATGTAGTCTCCTAAAACTCTCCAGGTCTACCGAATCCTAATCAACTGTCATCTATTCCTGTCCTCACTAACACTTTACTGGTGGATTTTGTATCAAAGTTTTATTTCCGTCTCATGAATGAATCAATCAAGTCGATAGGAAGAGGGAAGATAATGGTAGAATTCTTCTCAGCTGATATAGAGTTGAGTGTCTGTAGGTAGCGTAGCTGTAGGGCAGCCGGACTCTGGCTGATGATCTCGGCAGCCTCCTTCAGGGCTCCCGCTGCCCGGTACTCTCCTTCAGCAGCCAACACCTACAACAAACAACAAACTTGACTGCCTAGTTGTTTAATTGTAATTACCTTAAGACTCATGTTGAAGACCCCACATATTCCTGGGTATGATTCTCAGAAACAGAACAAAAAAATGCAGTTATTATATAGACATAATGACCTAGCTCTGATCTAATTCCATGACATATATTATTGTGTTCAATTTACAACATCAGTTATTACTAAATATTTAATATCTTAAACAAGGACTAAAGCACCTGTGAATTATAACATTAAGTGCCGGTAAATGTAATAACTCATGTAGAATGATGTAATAGACTACCAATAGAAAATACAAATGGTGATGAACAAGTAATAGCGGTTGATAAGACAATGAGAGTGAGTGTGGAGTGATCAATATTTCTTTCCAAGAATAAAATTTGAAAGTATTCTCTAAACTTGTTTGTTAACTGTGGCCAGCACATGCACCATGTTTGAATGGTGTAGGAGGGGAGACAACCCTTACTGATCCTAGTACTTTTGACAAAGTTTTAAATATTAAACTACATATCATTTATTATATTTTATCGAACCATAAATATTCATAAAAAGTGTAAATTGATCTTGTGGATGAATCCTTTGATAAGATACCATGATGTGGGTTGTAAAAGCCCAGTATTTCCTGAAAAAAACATAAACACCAGTCCCCATTACAACCAGATTACAGCAGGAGACACAGTGTCTCAGATAATTTTCAATTCAAAACATTCAAATCGATTGAAGGGAAAAGCATAGTAAAGCACAAAACCGAATATATTTTTCGAATTCAGAACAGAAATACAACAATGAATAGAGAGGCACCCTGAGTGGTTCAGTTAGATAGAATTACCTCTCTGTACTAAATTAATAAACCATCATATATCATAAAGTTCTGTTGGAAACCAATTCCACAACAAATGGACCGGTCAGTGGCTTTATCATATATACAAATAGGATCAACCTTCATCACATAAATAATCACCAGGATCTGGTGAAACAAAATCAAAGGAATAAAGCCAGATTATGTATTGACCTCTAGGACACTTTAACCCTACTGACCTTTGCCCTAGCCTCTCTAGCTGCCTCTGCCTCAGCAGCCATAGCTCTTTGTAACTGTATGGGGAGGCGGACATCTTTGCTGTGAGGAAAAAGACAATATTTCAGTTACTAGACATAGATACTCTTATTTAATTGGCCATTGTTTACACAACATATAAAATATCATACCCACATAACCATTGAAAATAATCTGGATATCCTGATTAAAGATGCATAAGTTACAATGCTTTTGATACGAGCTGCCATTGATTCAGTGAAAATAATACTTGTGGTTGAACTTTAATCATTATTAGAACTATTATTATTAATAACCGGTTACCATGGAACAGCTGAACATTTAGTTTTTTTTACCATCAAGACTTATAGACAAATCTTACATTTCCACCCGTTCCACCTTGATTCCCCACCTGTCTGTTGCACCATCTAACACAGCCTGTAAGTAAAATGTAAAAATATATCTCAAATAAATAAAAACAATTGTTCAAAATCAAAACTAGAAAATATTTGTATCGACCACTTAATTGCAAAATGGAATGCACAAAGAAATTTTCAAAGATGACAGATAAATACACCAATTCTTTATAGACCTTTCCCTAAGGACTGAGTCTCAGGTATAAGGGGAGTGCTTTGTGAGGATGCTCTCCTTGGCAAAAAGTCTATTATAAGCTGAGTATTATGTGAGGTGTCTTTGCTATAGCAGAAAGCCTGTTATAAGCTGAATGTTATGTGAGGTGTCTTTGCTATAGCAGAAAGTCTATTATAAGCCGAGTGTTATGTGAGGTGTCTTTGCTATAGCAGAAAGCCTGTTATACGCTGAGTGTTATGTGAGGTGTCTTTGCTATAGCAGACAGATTGTTATAAGCTGAGTATCATGTGAAGGGTCTTCCCTATAGCAGACACTATTATAAGCTGAGTATCATGTGAAGTGCCTTTGCTATAGTAGAAAGCCTGTTAACTACTGACATCACAGCTATATACAGAAATACTGGCGACATCACAATATCAGATGACATCACAACTACATAACACTAACTACCGACATCACAGCTATATTACAGAAATACTGGTGACATCACAGCTACATCACAATATCAGATGACATCACAACTACATAACACTAACTACCGACATCATAGCTATATTACAGAAATACTGGTGACATCTACATCACAATATCAGATGACATCTCAACTACATCACAATAACTACTGACATCACAGCTATATTACAGAAATACTGGTGACATCAAAGCTACATCACAATACCAGATGACATCACCACTACATAACATTAACTACTAACATCACAGCTGTATCACAGACAAACTGGTGACGTCATCACAGCTACATCACAATGCCAGATGACATCACAGCTACATAGCACTAACTACTGACATCACAGCTATATGACAGAAATACTGGTGACATCACAGCTTCATCACAATACCAGATGATATCACAACTACATCACAATAACTACTGACATCCCAGCTATATTACAGAAATACTGGTGACATCACAGCTACATCACAATATCAGATGACATCACAACTACATAACACTAACTACTTACATTATATATCACGTTAAATCACAATACCAGATGACATCACAGCTACATAGCACTAACTACTGACATCACAGCCATATGACAGAAATACTGGTGACATCACAGCTTCTTCACAATACCAGATGATATCACAACCACATCACAATAACTACTGATATCACAGCTATATTACATAAATACTGGTGACATCACAGCTACATCACAATACCAGATGACATCACAGCTACATAGCACTAACTACTGACATCACAGCTATATTACAGAAATATTGGTGAAATCACAGCAACATAGCAGTAACTAATGACATCACAGCTATATCACAATACCATATGACATCACAACTACATAACACTAACTACTTACATTATATATCACGTTAAATCACAATACCAGATGACATCACAGCTACATCACAATATCAGATGACATCACAACTACATCACAATAACTACTAACATCACAGCTATATTACAGAAATAGTGGTGACATCACAGCAACATCACAATGCCATATGACATCACAACTACATAACTCTAACTACTTACATTATATATCACGTTAAATCACAATACCTGATGACATCACAGCTACATCACAGTATCAGATGACATCACAACTACATCCCAATAACTACTAATATCACAGCTATATTACAGAAATATTGGTGAAATCAAAGCAACATAGCAGTAACTAATGACATCACATCTATATCACAATACCATATGACATCACAACTACATCACACTAACTACTTACATTATATAACACGTTAAATCACAATGCCAGATGACATCACAGCTACATAGTACTAACTACTGACATCACAGCTATATTACAGAAATATTGGTGACATCACAGTAACATAGCAGTAACTAATGACATCACAGCTAAATCACAATACCAGATGACATCACAACTACATAACACTAACTACTTACATTATATATCACGTTAAATCACAATACCTGATGACATCACAGCTACATCACAATGCCAGATGACATCACAGCAACATAGCAGTAACTACTGACATCACAACTACATAACACTAACTACTGACATCACAGCTATATTACAGAAAAAAATGTGAAATCACAGCTACATCACAATGCCAGATGACATCACAGCTACATAACACTAACTACTTACATTATATATCACGTTAAATCACAATACCAGATGACATCACAGCTACATAGCACTAACTACTGACATCACAGCTATATTACAGAAATACTGGTGACATCACAGCTATATCACAATACCAGATGATATCACAACTACAAAACACTAACTACTGACATCACAGCTATATTACAGAAATATTGGTGACATCACAGCACTTCACAATACCAGATGACATCACAACTACAAAACACTAACTACTGACATCACAGCTATATTACAGAAATACTAGTGACATCACAGCAACATCACAATGCCAGATGACATCACAACTACATAACACTAACTACTGACATCACAGCTATATTACAGAAAAACTGGTGATATCACAGCTACATCACAATACCAGATGACATCACAACTACATAACACTAACTACTGACATCACAGCTATATTACAGAAATAGTGGTTACATCACAGCAACATCACAATACCAGATGACATCACAACTACATAACACTAACTACTGACATCATAGCTATATTACAGAAATACTGGTGACATCACAGCTACATCACAATGCCAGATGACATCACAGCTACATAGTACTAACTACTGACATCACAGCTATATCACAGAAAAACTGGTGACATCACAGCTACATCACACTACCAGATGACATCACAACTACATAACACTAACTACTGACATCACAGCAACATCACAATACCTGATGGCATCACAACTACATAACACTAACTACTGACATCACAGCTATATTACAGAAATAGTGGTTACATCACAGCAACATCACAATACCAGATGACATCACAACTACATAACACTAACTACTGACATCCCAGCTATATTACAGAAATAGTGGTGACATCACAGCAACATCACAATACCAGATGACATCACAACTACATAACACTTACTACTGACATCCCAGCTATATTACAGAAATACTGGTGACATCACAGCTACATCACGATACCAGATGACATCACAACTACATCACACTAACTACTGACATCACAGCTTCTGTAGAGGTGCCTTAGATGAGATAAACAGACTTTCTAAATTCATGTTTGATAATGAAAGGAATAAGCTGAACAATTTCAGGTTATAGAGATGTGAATACAAACTATATTATGAGTTTCAGGTATGATACATTATTTGTGCTCATTAAAACATCCTGTTTACGAACAATTAAAATTGAAGACCCAATACATTTTTAAATTATTGCATGAAAATTAATGACATCATGCAAAATGAAAAAAAAATCAATTGATAGAGTGCTTCAAATGGTTATTGCATTTAAATGCCATTTAAGCATTCAATTTAGATGTTTTTGTGTGTAAGTGCATGTGTCAAGTTTTCTTGTATGCGCAGAACAGTGCTCCAGTTTTTATGTATGTGAGGGATCTCTGCCCTCATTGAAGATTCTACTCATGCCTTTCCATTCTAAACGCCCACTTACAAGTAGGGGCAATCAACAGCTTATGTTGCCATGCACCAAAAAGCTTTCCTCTACAATTAAGCAGAACACCGCCACCTTTCTAATAAATCAAGCTTTTCCACGACCTAGATTTTAGGATGACTGGAGAGACATTTTCCATTAACAATTTACTCATCTTTTTTATAAATTAAACACACTTGAAGAAGTGATGAATAGTGATGCTATATTTATTTGTACAACGTGGACCACTGGCAGTATTTGTAGGTCTCTATATATCAATATGTTAAATATATAGGTCTATATATCTATATCTATATGTTAAATATATAGGTCTATATATCAATATGTTAAATATATAGGTATATATACCTATATGTTAAATATATAGGTCTATATATATCTACATGTTAAATATATAGGTCTCTATATATCTAAATGTTAAATATATAGGTTTTATATATCTATATGTTAAATTTGTAGGTCTCTATATATCTACTGTATATGTTAAATATGTAGGTCTATATATCTATATACTATACCACTACTATTTAGTTATATATCAGTGTAGATACCTGCATGGCATTGCTATATATACCGGTAGGCCTCTATGTCTATATGCTATGACCCTGTACTATTTAGTTATATATCTGTATAGATACCTGCATGGCATTGCTATATACAGGCCCCTATATCTATATGCTATAACACTGTACTATTTAGTTATAAATCTGTATAGATACCTGCATGGCATTGCTTTATACAGGCCCCTATATCTATATGCTATAACACTGTACTATTTAGTTATATCTGTATAGATACCTGCATGGCATTGCTATATATAGGCCCCTATATCTATATGCTATAACACAGTACTATTTAGTTATATATCTGTATAGATACCTGCATAGCATTGCTATATATAGGCCTCTATGTCTATATGCTATAACACTGTACTATTTAGTTATAAATCTGTATAGATACCTGCATGGCATTGCTATATATAGGCCTCTATGTCTATATGCTAAAAACACTGTATTATTTACTTATATATCTGTATAGATACCTGCATGGCATTGCTGTATATAGGCCTCTATATCCATATGCTATAACACTGTACTTTTTACTTATATATCTGCATATATACCTGCATGGCATTGCTATATATAGGCATCTATGTCTATATACTATAACACTGTACTATTTAGTTATATCTGTATAGATACATGCATGGCATTGCTGTATATAGGCCTCTATATCTATATGCTATAACTCTGTACTATTTAGTTATATCTGTATAGATACCTGCATGGCATTGCTGTATATAGGCCTCTATATCTATATGCTATAACACTGTACTTTTTACTTATATATCTGCATATATACCTGCATGGCATTGCTATATATAGGCATCTATGTCTATATACTATAACACTGTACTATTTAGTTATATCTGTATAGATACCTGCATGGCATTGCTATATATAGGCCCCTATATCTATATGCTATAACACTGTACTATTTAGGTATATATCTGTATATATACCTGCATGGCATTGCTATATATAGGCCTTTATATCTATATGCTATAACACTGTACTATTTAGTTATATATCTGTATATATACAATGTACCTGCATGGCATCGCTATATACAGGCCTCTATATCTATATGCTATAACACTGTACTATTTAGTTATATATCTGTATATATCCAATGTACCTGCATGGCATCGCTATATACAGGCCTCTATATCTATATTCTATAACACTGTACTATTTAGCTATATATCTGTATAGATACCTGCATGGCATTGCTATATATAGGCCTTTATATCTATATGCTATAACACTGTACTATTTAGTGATATCTATATAGATACCTGCATGGCATTGCTATATATACCGGTAGGCCTCTATGTCTATATGCTATAACACTGTACTATTTAGTTATATATCTGTATAGATACCTGCATGACATTGCTATATATAGGCCCCTATATTTATATGCTATAACACTGTATTATTTACTTATATATCTGTATAGATACCTGCATGGCATTGCTATATATAGGCCTCTATATCTATATGCTATAACACTGTACTATTTAGTTATATCTGTATAGATACCTGCATGGCATTGCTATATATAGGCCCCTATATCTATATGCTATAACACTGTACTATTTAGTTATATATCTGTATAGATACCTGCATGGCATTGCTATATATAGGCCCCTATATTTATATGCTATAACACTGTACTATTTAGTTATATCTGTATAGATACCTGCATGGCATTGCTATATATAGGCCCCTATATCTATATGCTATAACACTGTACTATTTAGTTATATATCTGTATAGATACCTGCATGGCATTGCTATATATAGGCCCCTATATCTATATGCTATAACACTGTACTATTTAGTTATATCTGTATAGATACCTGCATGGCATTGCTATATATAGGCCCCTATATCTATATGCTATAACACTGTACTATTTAGTTATATATCTGTATAGATACCTGCATGGCATTGCTATATATAGGCCTCTATATCTATATGCTATAACACTGTACTATTTAGTTATATCTGTATAGATACCTGCATGGCATTGCTATATATAGGCCCCTATATCTATATGCTATAACACTGTACTATTTAGTTATATATCTGTATAGATACCTGCATGGCATTGCTATATATAGGCCCCTATATCTATATGCTATAACACTGTACTATTTAGTTATATATCTGTATAGATACCTGCATGGCATTGCTATATATAGGCCCCTATATCTATATGCTATAACACTGTACTATTTAGTTATATCTGTATAGATACCTGCATGGCATCGCTATATACAGGCCCCTATATCTATATGCTATAACACTGTACTATTTAGTTATATCTGTATAGATACCTGCATGGCATTGCTATATATAGGCCCCTATATCTATATGCTATAACACTGTACTATTTAGTTATATATCTGTATAGATACCTGCATGGCATTGCTATATATAGGCCCCTATATCTATATGCTATAACACTGTACTATTTAGTTATATCTGTATAGATACCTGCATGGCATTGCTATATATAGGCCCCTATATCTATATGCTATAACACTGTACTATTTAGTTATATATCTGTATAGATACCTGCATGGCATTGCTATATATAGGCCCCTATATCTATATGCTATAACACTGTACTATTTAGTTATATCTGTATAGATACCTGCATGGCATTGCTATATATAGGCCCCTATATCTATATGCTATAACACTGTACTATTTAGTTATATATCTGTATAGATACCTGCATGGCATTGCTATATATAGGCCCCTATATCTATATGCTATAACACTGTACTATTTAGTTATATCTGTATAGATACCTGCATGGCATTGCTATATATAGGCCCCTATATCTATATGCTATAACACTGTACTATTTAGTTATATATCTGTATAGATACCTGCATGGCATTGCTATATATAGGCCCCTATATCTATATGCTATAACACTGTACTATTTAGTTATATCTGTATAGATACCTGCATGGCATTGCTATATATAGGCCCCTATATCTATATGCTATAACACTGTACTATTTAGTTATATATCTGTATAGATACCTGCATGGCATTGCTATATATAGGCCTCTATATCTATATGCTATAACACTGTACTATTTAGTTATATCTGTATAGATACCTGCATGGCATTGCTATATATAGGCCCCTATATCTATATGCTATAACACTGTACTATTTAGTTATATATCTGTATAGATACCTGCATGGCATTGCTATATATAGGCCCCTATATCTATATGCTATAACACTGTACTATTTAGTTATATATCTGTATAGATACCTGCATGGCATTGCTATATATAGGCCCCTATATCTATATGCTATAACACTGTACTATTTAGTTATATCTGTATAGATACCTGCATGGCATTGCTATATATAGGCCCCTATATCTATATGCTATAACACTGTACTATTTAGTTATATATCTGTATAGATACCTGCATGGCATTGCTATATATAGGCCCCTATATCTATATGCTATAACACTGTACTATTTAGTTATATCTGTATAGATACCTGCATGGCATTGCTATATATAGGCCCCTATATCTATATGCTATAACACTGTACTATTTAGTTATATCTGTATAGATACCTGCATGGCATTGCTATATACAGGCCCCTATATTTATATGCTATAACACTGTACTATTTAGTTATATATCTGTATAGATACCTGCATGGCATTGCTATATATAGGCCTCTATAATTATATGCTATAACACTGTACTATTTAGTTATATCTGTATAGATACCTGCATGGCATTGCTATATACAGGCCCCTATATTTATATGCTATAACAAAGTACTATTTAGTTATAAATCTGTATAGATACCTGCATGGCATCACCATATACAGGCCCCTATATCTATATGCTATAACACTGTACTTATTAGTTATAAATCTGTATAGATACCTGCATGGCATCACCATATACAGGCCCCTATATCTATATGCTATAACACTGTACAATTTAGTTATAGATACCTGCATGACATCGCTATATACAGGCCCCTATATTTATATGCTATAACACTGTACTATTTAGTTATATATCTGTATAGATCCCTGCATGGCATTGCTATATATAGGCCCCTATTTCTATATGCTATAACACTGTACTATTTAGTTATATCCGTATAGATACCTGCATGGCATTGCTATATATAGGCCCCTATATTTATATGCTATAACACTGTACTATTTAGTTATATATGTATAGATACCTGCATGGCATCGCTATATACAGGCCCCGATATTTATATGCTGTAACACTGTACTATTTAGTTATATCTGTATAGATACCTGCATGGCATTGCTGATAGTTTCTCTCTCAGTTAGGATTTCAGACATGTTTTTTGTGCCAAGTATGTTTCTTAGCGTGGTCTGTGCGAGGAGCCGCGTGGCATGGTGGGCGTTCTCCACATTGGCGACTGAAACTGTTGGGTTGGAGACACGATAGTACACAACAGCATCCACTGATACAGTCACTGAGTCTTTGGTTAAAATCTGAAACACAGCAAAGGTATGCGTCCCAGTGAAATATTGATATAACCTCTGCTATATAGTACCAATGTAAATTCAGCACTAAATTAAACTGGCTACCAGCCCCTGTCTTATTAACTGGCTACTAGCCCCTGTCTTATTAACTGGCTACCAGTCCCTGTCTTATTAACTTGCTACTAGCCCCTGTCTTGTTAACTAGCTACCAGCCCCTGTCTTATTAACTGGCTACCAGCCCCTGTCTTATTAACTGGCTACCAGCGCCTGTCTTATTAACTGGCTACCAGTCCCTGTCTTATTTACTGGCTACCAGCCCCTGTCTTATTAACTGGCTACCAACCCCTGTCTTATTAACTGGCTACCAGCCCCTGTCTTTTTTTTAAAGAATTCTCCACCTGCATATTCCAGCTAGCTTAATATTCCCCTTCAGTTTGAAACTTGGGATCAGACAACGAAGTGATCAAATTGTTTGAGTTAAAACAAAATTAATGACACAATGTTCAAGAGACACCGGGCAAGTCTTATGGGGTAGTTGAAAAGTTAACCCCGGCCTATATTTAGATGGAACATGTCAGCTTTGTTCATTGCCCGTTGTTTCAATAAAGCTAACATGTAACACAATGCGATATATATATACAATGTATATGTCTAGCAATGTTCTAATTTCAAAATTACATCAGGACCACAATTGCTTGAGAGTTGAAACTGGGCGTTTAGATTGAGAGAAGGTAACAGAGAGTGAAGTGATCAGGAGTTATGACAGGGAGGAATCTGGCAGCAGCTACAGAAACCAGAGCTGTGTGTCCTAGTGGAGCTGTGTGTCCTGGTGGAGCTGTGTGTCCTTGTAGAGCTGTGTGTCCTTGTAGAGCTGTGTGTCCTGGTGGAGCTGTGTGTCCTTGTGGAGCTGTGTGTTCTAGTGGAGCTATGTGTCCTTGTGGAGCTGTTTGTTCTAGTAGAGCTGTGTGTCCTGGTGGAGCTGTGTGTCCTGGTGGAGCTGTGTGTTCTAGTGGAGCTGTGTGTCCTTGTGGAGCTGCATGTCCTTGTGGAGCTGTGTGTCCTTGTGGAGCTGTGTGTCCTGGTGGAGCTGTGTGTCCTGGTGGAGCTGTGTGTCCTAGTGGAGCTGTGTGTCCTGGTGGAGCTGTGTGTCCTGGTGGAGCTGTGTGTCCTGGTGGAGCTGTGTGTCCTAGTGGAGCTGTGTGTCCTGGTGAAGCTGTGTGTCCTAGTGGAGCTGTGTGTCCTAGTGGAGCTGTGTGTCCTAGTGGAGCTGTGTGTCCTGGTGCAGGAACATAACACCTTAACTTTCTGTGCCGTGTGATTTATATAGCATGACACAACATTTTCAACTCCACTGAACATTTCACTTTAGTGTGTTGGCAGTGTACTAAATAGTCATTCCATCATTCCATGACCTCGCCAGGAACATCCTTAATGCTCCTGCATTTAAGAAAGGTGATTCACTCTTATTCATGTTTTGATCCAATCTTTGTTGATGATTTCATTAATGACGCCTTTCAGATTCAGACATTTGAACACCACTTTCATCGTATCAACACCAACAAACATATCATATAGAGAATTACCTTTACGAATGTTTAGAAAAGTGCAAAATATATCCACTTGCATTCGTCATCTTATAAAACCAACAAAAATTGAATATAAGAAACATCATATGCATTTAATCACATGGAAACCCTCAATATTTTGTACGAGGAGCGCGCCTCATGCAAAGATCACATTTAAAATACCTCACACATCACCCTATGGATATACATGATATCTAATTAATCTGTATTTGAGGATATTAACCCTCTAATTCGAGACTGCAATAACAGGCTTCCCTATCTATGGCTGTTACCTCTTTCGTATGGCCTTACAGTTAGAACACAATGACCTGTATGTAGTATTGACCCTCATGACCATGAGCGGCTCAACATTTATATATAGGAATCTATGGTATTTCTATGGTAATACATGTATGTAGGGATCGTGCACTTAGGTTAAAACAAGTTCTATGTATATGTGTATACATGTATATGTACTGTAAGCCAATATTCAAAGAATGTGATCACCCCAATAAAAGGTGAAACAGTCATAATCAGACTGAGTGGTTTATCAGACTGAGTGGTTAAAATCATGGGGTACAGGTTATGACAAAATGTCTCGCTGGTTTTGGTTTTTATCCAACCTGTGCATCACATAAATATCTGGAGTAAAGGCCCCCTAGCTCTTACCATAGCTAAACTGTTTCATTTTTTACTTGTAAAATGATCGATGCATGAGATTAGTTTCCCCTCTCAGCAGTGGTGGGGCAGGATGTGTCAAACATGTCTGAGTAGGTAGGTATTATTTACAATTACTGCTTTGTCTGGACACCATATGCATGGGTTCCTTTAGGATTTTCAACAAGTGTTCACATTACTATTTAGTAACGATGACCAACCATTCACTCACTGGGAAGCCGCCATTGTTTTTAGGTTCAATCAATAGTATCTGACATGTCATGAAAGCTAATTGCAGGGAGGGAGGTTGTTCAGCTTCCCTCTACACAAACCGTTTGATATCCCTCCTTCTGTTTTCAAATTCCTTTCTATAGGATTCAACTGGCATCTTCACTCTAAGTGAAATGGGCAAGTCTGTTCTTATACATATATCTAAACACTGAAATTATCGTACAAATGTTTCGTCTCGATGCTTCGTGAATGGCACAGTGCTGTGCTCAAGTGTATGTACATAAATATTTTGTTGAAATAAACTCAATAACGTGTATTTAAGCATCATGCATATATATGGTATATGATGTATATTTGATCATAGGAAAGCTTTTACAATTTGTTCAATTTACAACTTTCGCAATTACCATATTCAAACTAACAAACAAGCTGTTTGCTAAGAATTATGAAAAGAGCTCAAATTGAATTTTAAATTCAGTACAGGTATATACAGTGTACATGTATGTACTGATTATTATTATGATTGCAGACCACATTTCTTAAAGGATGCAATAATTATAGTTGATTTGTTTCAACGGTACAGAGCAGTTTTCTTGGACTATTTTAGTACTACTGCAATAGGAAGTAGCCTGCTTCTACAAGTTTGAACCAGTGACCCCCAGTTTTGCAGTCTGCCTCTCTACCAACTGAGCTAAAGAGAATGTCCCCTTTGGCGAAAGCAAGAAGGCGACCATGATCCTATGTACAATTAAAATCTGCCATGCTAAAATGCCTTGGTTTTTCAGGGTCAATGTTCAATGCTTTCAAGAATATAGGCCAGGAAATGTATGGGCATGGGTTGCTCAGAAAGCCTGACCATGGCCAGTGCTCAGTTTTAATCTTATATTTGTAAATAACCCTACATTCCTGAATAATCATAAATTCATGATTTTACATACATTCAATTTCCTAAATATACATGAATGTATATGATTTCTAATACAAGTTCTACCATGTTATCAGTAGTCTAGATACCTGGTCAATAATTTGATTGGGGTCGACTGTTCTTTTGTTACCATGGTTACAGATGACATTTATATGGCTGGAGAAATTGTGAGGCCAGCTATGCTAGAACAGTCATAGAGAACAGTACTTAGTGTCTGTATGCTGTAAGGGAGTCCTATAATGGGGTAATAGATGTGTTTTATATAGTCACTGCTATTTCCTGTCTGTTATGGAATGTCTTGGTCAATATGTGCAGTATAAACACATGAGGTTTATGGGTTCTTGACAAACGCTTGGCTGACTCTGATGACATGCAATGGGGCTCCACAGTCTACTTCATTCTATTCCTGTGTACTTATCTTGGAATCAATAGTAATGAGGAATGCCAAAGAGTAAACTAAGATGTACAATCACAGCCACACAATGCTGTTTGGCTGACTGAAGAGATTCCACACAAAACAAATATCATTTTGGAAAAGAAAAAATAATTCTGCAAACTACAGATTCCCAGTTAATTGTTACAGAGGGATTATGACACTTGAATCCAGACCTCTTCCTTGATCTGTGTTGTATATTTATGAGATAGGAATACATCCCTAAAGTATTGAGTTATACATTGTATCACGAAATCCCTACAATGAGCTATCCAGTAAGTTGGCCCCTGTAGTGTTTGTGTCTTTGCCTAACAAATCAATCATAGAATTGAAATCATTGTTATTCTCCAACATATACATTATATAACAATGCCTCCCCTTACATTAAGGCATGTCGGTGAATTCTTCCCTAGTATTAACTGCTATAAAATTAACCAATCAATGTAGTTATATATTGTATCACCCAGACCACCATTTGGTACCAATACAAACATTGATTATTATCTCCCAAGCTGATTGATATGCTGATGGTTACCGGATAGTGCCTAAACCTGGCACAGATTGGTTATAACTCTGGCTATACCTATTGATGACATAAAAACCACAGCAATGTCAAGATATTAACACTGTGCAGACATGTAATCTAATACCTTTCATACAAACTATTGATGATGGATGTCATGAAAAACACACAAACATTGACAAATTAACAACTTCTCATACATGTGTTGATGACAAAGTCACTGAATTTTAACACATTCCAAACTATACTGCAATATGGTGTTATAATTCTAATCAACCAAAACAATAAATTGATGGAAAGCAACACAGCCTAAATATTTTTAATATCAACAAATATGAAAATTACTTGATTATTATCAATTTGATTAAAACTGGCATTGAACAAATTTTCCAAGGACAATGTGATTAGATGTGTTCCAAGGTCAATGGAATTTAGGGCTGTCATCTATCACTGTTTTTAACTCGGATAGAGATGGATGAGCTAGCTGATATGAGTCCTTCCTGATTACGACCCTGTCACTACTGGTTACTGTAATTATAATAACAATAATAACAGTTGCCTACAAACAGCTATGATCTAGGTGACCTTGACCTAACCACATATTCTGATCCCCATGGTAACACAATCAGTCTCAATGGTCTGCCATTGTATCATGTTCTTTGATATCAGTGGAGA